CAACTCCAACACCCCGATGCCCCCCCTCGCCATCGCCTCCCACGTCACCTACACCCCCCTCGGCATCAACACCTTCTCCAATCATCACCAGGGCATCACCTACATCAAATCCAACTCCGCAGCCTCCCACTCACCTCACACAACTGAACAACAGTACCTCATTGTCAAGAAGCTGCCAGCCCCCGAGACTCAGCAGATCTTACCAAAGAATATCCCCAAAACCGTTGGAGATGTCGATGCAGAGCACTCAAATCTCGCTCAATCATCACCCCTGCTCTTCGATAAGCTCTCCCGAGGCACCAAGAAGCCCGTCCCAGGACTCAATCCAATTAATTCATCCTCAAACGACGTGGAATCGCCGGGCATCCCCGAAAAACCAAATCCACCAGCAACACGTGACAAATCAGATGCCAATTACCCCTTCACCCCCAAGAATTCACCAAATGGAACAGACTCAGCTGCCGAACCATGTGTCCGTGTTAACGCAGAGTCAGACCCACCGATTGCAGTCATCACCTTCACCCCATCGTGCAGACAATCAGAGTCATCAGACGCCTCAACTGACACCTCGAAATCAAGTGATCTACACAACTCAGTGCTCACAGGCAATCACCAGTCCGATATCGTCGCCAATTGTTCTGATGAATCACCGAGGCACGATGTACGTAGACAGGACAGTGTCGCTGACAGACTCGCAAGAAGACTCTCCGAGGATCGAGCAGCGCATTACCGATCTCGACAGTCCACCGCCAAGTTCACCGAACACTTGAAATTGGAAGAAGCGCATTTATCAGCGCCACTTGCAGCAAACTTAGGGCAGAGGTTTGAGGGCCTGGGGAGGCCCAGGTCGTGCTCGAGTGCGGAGGGACTGGGACCTGAGGGGGGCAGGGTCAAACCGAGGATCTTGATGAGGGAGAGGAGGAGTCTTGACTCACTGGAGACTGTCACCGTTCACAACAAGGGGGGCGTCATCTGGAAGAAGGGGGACGACGTTTGGATGGAGGATAAAGAGGAGAAGGACAGTCCTGTGGGGAATGATATTGAACTCTTTGATGAGAGCACTATGAGCGCCTCGGAGGACGAAAAGACTGGCTTTAGGGAGGATGATGATGGGGACAGGGTTTCTATTGTGTCGTCCATTGATATGCAGGTACTTGAGGACTTTGAAACTGCCCTGAAGCAAATTGAGGGGGGCCTGGGGCAAACTGCCAATTAGGGAAATTTAAATCGAGGGTTTTTCGGAATTGAACGAATTTGTCTCAATTGAAGAATATTTCTATTTCACTTCTGAAGTTGAGGAAGAGGACACGCCTTGCTTAGGTAGGTTTTGAAGTAGAGCTACAATAAATTTCAACAAATGAAATGTTCCTCATTTGTTGTTTGAAAGAGCAAACTTTCCTCTTCTTGAAAAGTGATGTTCTGAAGATACATATTCTCTGATGTTTTTAGATTTTAAAAAGATTGTTCAAGGTTTAAAATGATTTAGAGATTTTTTCGAGTTGGCAATGACACAGAAGCACTCATTCTGCAATTGAAAAGTATTCATTTTTTTTTAGATTCATGAAGTGAAGAAACTTTTTTTGTTCTCTAATTTTTGTTGAATCACTAGAGCAATTGATCTTTCGAGTTTTTCTTTGGGAAATTGTTGATTTGGAGGGGATGATTGAGTTTTGTGAGGCGTTTGCAGGTGATAATGATTCTTGTATTGGTTACAAGGCTCCAAGTTCATTGGAAGTGATTATTTTAATTGTTTATTTATGATGAGCCATCAGTTAAATCCTTGAAGTATACGAATTAAAGGAATTAATCGAACAAAATTAACGATAAAAACACGCACATATCGTGGAATTAGATAGCAAGGAGGATTTTTTTGCGTTTTGTACGAGAGGAAATTCAAAGTGAAGACGGGATTGTGAAGAGTGAAACAAAACCCAAGCCATATTACCATTACTGCCTTAATAGTCGATTAACTACGGTCCTTCAATATTTTTTTAGCCAAATTACATTTATTAATTTATTATTTAAAAAATTGATTAATGGGGCAAGAGATCGTTTTCTCAATATCAACGATGGACATTTAATATCGGCAGAGTATTAATAAATTAAGCCGAATTGTGTATTGTAAATATTAAAATTGAACATAAGATTAAACGATTATTTTTAATAGTCAAATTTAAACTCCGATGGATCAATAATTCCATTCATCAGAGTTGAGTAAAAATTTCTTGATTGAACTCCGATTAATCAATCATCAATTATCGACATGATAATTTTTTTTTTTTTCATATTTCTCTGCGTTTACTGAAGAATACTTGAAAGTCATTCATTGGACAAGGGAATTGATAGTCCTTTGGTTAATTGAGGAATTTGTTATGAGTGTAGAGAAATTCAAAATTCGTATTTTTATGAGAAAATAAATCATTTGAAACGAATAATTCAGCGTTTGTTTCTTTATTGTCTAGTGGTATAGCATCGACTGTTGCTCCTGCAGCTGCAGTCGGTAATGTTGTCCCCAGAATATAATTACCTCCCTCCCCTTCCCGCCCAGACCCGCCATTCCTTCGACAAATTCAAATCAACCCCTCTAATTGCTGCAAAAAGTGCAAAGAAACGAGAAAGAACGAGAGGTTTTAATGGCGTGGGGAATGCAGAGAGTTAAAAGGGGAATTCCGGGTAGAGTAAACAATCGACTAATGATATGTAAATATGACAGAGCTAATCAAGCGGGGCCTGTGCCAACACTGGGAGATGAGAGGCCGCCAGTTGCGTGTGAGTTCGATCTCTTCTCTGTTCTCCGCTATCTCTCTCCATCCCCCCATTTCGATAGAATGCATTTACGGTGGTGCTTTGCACACAGAGGTACCGAGAATGTCCACGTGCGTGCACGGGTCTATACATATTTAATGATTCCACGTTAATTGCACCATGTTTGCCCAAACTCTCTTTGCAAGCCCCTTCTGATGCACGATGGCGGGTTTCAATCAGATATTAAATGTCTTTACATTCGGATTTTTTTGGTTTTAACTGGGTTTCGGCGGAATTTTCATCCAGTTTATTCAGGAAGAATTTTGGGAATTGACTACTTTTCTAATTAATTTACATTATTAGATAATTATTCTAAGTATGTATGGCGAATGGAATTCTCCGAGAATTTTTACGACTGATTCTTCTGGGGAATTTTTATTCAGTTCATTTTCAATGATTTTGGAAATTATTGATTATTAATGAAATTAGATTAAATTAATGATTTCTGGTGATTTCTTTCTTGATTGCCAGTCGAGTGGTCCAGTCCACGGAGCGAAATTTTCTAGAAAAAATCTAGTACGAGTACTGGAAAAAATCGTAATTCATCGGCTGTGAAAAATTCTAGTGCTGTTAAGGTAAAATTTCTCGGTATTTCTGGTAAAATTTCGGGGATTTCTGTGAAATTTTCATAGAAATACGGAGAAGAATACACGTTTTCCCCAACAAAATTTCTAGTGCCGGTACTGAAACGGAAACGCAAATTCATGTTTAAAATTCATTGAATTTCAAATTTTCAAGATAATTTTTTTTTGTGGAATAAATCTAAGAATTTTGTTTCAGAGTTAATCGGAATAATTAATTAGTGAGCTGGGTTAATTAGGAAAGTAGTATGTCAAGATAAAAATGTTGAACAATCATTAATTTTGAAATTCTGAATGAAAATTCCAGCAAAAAAATCAATGTTACAAACTCGTGGAGAATTCCATTTCAAAGATATAATTAACATAATTATCTAACGATTTACATCAATTAGAAAAGTAGTTTTAACACCAAAAATTGTCTTTTCCCGTGCTAGCACCAGAATTTTTCCAAATAATTTCCGTGTGATTTCCTAAATGACCAGCCCCTCGCCATCATCCCTAAAAATGATTCATGTGGATTCGAAAAAACCTAAATCCCAAATATGACGTTGATGTAAAACAAAGAAAAAACTTTTGTAGCATTAAGTAGTAGGAGCCACTTTGTGTATACGCCTAACGAAAATGAGTTCTATAAAGCTTTTAACCCGGTGGGATGTAACACCGGGAGACGAAGAGAGCCGACGACATCTGACTCGTCCAGAGTTCTCATCTCCGTGTCATACAGTGGTTGATTTTGCCATTAGAGTTGAGGGTAACCATACCACTGTCTCTGATGGCACGTGAGTGGGAGTGGGAGGAGGTGAGTGCCTCTGGAAAAAACGAGCAGAGCTTTTTTTGGCGGGGGGGGGG